AGATATAGACAAATGTATACATAAATGATCAGAATGAAAAGAGAAATCGATTAAGCGGTGACTGTCTGTCCNGTTGAAAATTATTGAAATCGGACTTAAATTACGACCGCTTTTCATATAACGGTATATTTCAGAAATGATTGAAACTGCAATATTTCGAAATTTAAGGACGCTAATTTACTCAAAATTTATACACCCCGGCTTATCGTGTAGCGGAAGCTTTCGGAAAGGTAGAAAACATATATTTAATAATTGCGCCGGGTATTTAATGTTCGGCTCCGCCCGAACTTAGACTTTCTTACTTGTTGGTTTTACAATTTGCTTCACCGCAGAACTCAAGCGCTATCGTCGCTGTAGCAACCCAGTAGAAATCGGTTGTATGCATTCATGAAGAATGTTTGCTATATGAGTGAATTAGTGTGAACAATCCATGCATAGTCATGAATTTCAACGAATAAATTCAAATTCTAGCGAACTGCAAGCGAGTGTACGTCGTCGCTGTTTTAAGTACATTTCTTGATAAATTTGAAGTGGAATTTTTGTGATATTTTCAGTCTTGTATAAAAATTTTAGTGAACGGACGTGTTGTGCGATACTATTTTTAGCACAAAAGGGCTTTTACAAGATATGCATTTGCATATGTAAGTGCTACTTTTTTGTATGTCCCCGTATATTAAAATGTATCAGAAAAGTTGCATTTACATATGGGGATACATGTCTTGTAAGAACGCTTTAATACCGTTCCATTAATGCATTTTGTATGAATACAGCAGTAGTAAAAGTGTATGGTTAGAGTACGCATACGCTCTGAGAAACCATGCGTGTTAAATGGAAATGAAGGTTCATTTATACTGGCATGTATACCTGCTGCAAGCTCATGCCACCACCAGCGATGTCGTATGCATAAAATTTCTACTGGGAAATTCTATTTCGAATGGTGAAGTGTTTGTATTGTTGCGCAGCTTGCTATAGAATATTCTGTGTTGCTGTTAACGCTACCTGTAGTACGCCGCTTGGAAGTACTGCATAGTAGTAAAGTGTGCCTTTTAGCAGGTTTCGCGCAGCTCTTTAATAAGTACATACATATGCCCATCAGTACATCAACGAAGCCCGTTTACTTCATCATCATGATTGAATAATACAAGGTTCGATAAACTGACAGTCGTCTCTCTCGCACCGCTCCCTTAGCAATGGCACCGTGTTGCTTCTTTGCAAATTTACTTGGACAAAGTGTTGCTTTGCTGGGAAATAGAAGTATAAGCTTTTGTGCAATATGTTTATTTGTATATGCATATGAAGCACATTTAACTGATGAAAACATAAACTGTTTTTAAATTGGATGTTTACATAAATCTCATAGTAGTTTTATTATAATTTTGAGTCTTTTTGCAGTTTTTCTACGGCTAAATAGCACAAAAATTTCGTAATTCACGTAGATATATTAACATTTCGTTTAAAATGCCAGATTTCCTGCAAACACATTAGAATTTACAAAAGGAATTTCAATACTATTTGCCTACTTCGGGTACTATTCTAGTACCATTTTCGCAGCAATGGATCTCACTCCTCCCCTTTCCCCATCCTTCGTAAATGCAACATTTTGTAAAGGAGTGTCAAACCGCTGCTGTCAATAATTATCTAACCTTATATTATTGAATCATGCTTCATCATAAATATCTCCATACAAACATATGTACGAATGGATGTAGTTACGCGAAGCACGCTTGCATCATTTATACATATATTGCTTGGTAGCGGCAGAGCTGAAATGCGCAATGAGTTCGTTCGTACATACATATATATGTATACATACATACATATGTGCACTCAAACATACATATATACATATGTAGGTACTCGTACCCATCATGCGTCGCTTTATTTATTTTTTCCCCTTCCCTATACTACCTACATCTTCCTTCTCACCCATGTAACGTTTTCAGTTTTAAAAATTTCACTCTCCATTTTTGCGATAACGCCGCCTAAGAAGTTTCACTTCAAAAATTCCTCGAACACGTGTTAGCTTATTTCATGTATAGAACCCACAAAAAAAATGAAGCGAATTGGAGACATGACAAAATTTTTTACGAAATCCGTCTGACTTAAAAAAGAATGGCTCATATACAGATATTTTAGATGGCTTTCCTTGTTCACGCCGCAGGGGGCTCAGGCCATTATTGTCTCACAAAAGGAAGCCGTGGAAATTTTAAAAATTTTATACCGTCCTCCTTGCAGTGGTGTCTGGTATTTTTGCAGCTTCCAAATGCGCAACTCATTTTTGTTTTTATTATTTTAAAAAATAATTTTATGGTCTCACAAAATTGAAAAAAATTTATACCGTCCTCCTTGCAGTGGTATCTGGTATTTTTCAGCTTCCAAATGCGCAACTCATTTTTCTTTTTATAATTTTTTTTTTTATTATTTTATTTTTTCCTTTGTCGACCAAAATCTTTTCAGAAAAAAAAAATTATTATAATTTTCAATCTGGAAGCTTGATTTTGATGAAAATGTCATTATCTCAGCAAAAGTCAAATGGCTAACATGGCCTAAAATGTCATTAAGTGAAACTACCCATGGTAGAAAAAGGAAGGTAGTTTCACTTAATGACGTTAGCAGCCATGTTAGCCATTTGACTTTTGCTGAGATTATTTACATACATTTTCATCAAAATCAAGCTACCAGATTGAAAATTATAATAAAATTTTTTTCTGAAAATAGTTTGATCGACAAAGGAAAAAATAAAATAATAAAAAATAAAATTATAAAAAGAAAAATGAGTTGCGCATTTGGAAGCTGCAAAAATACTAGATACCACTGCAAGGAGGACGGTATACATTTTTTTCAATTTCCAGCGCTTCCTTTTGTGAGACCAAAATGGCTTGAAACTTGCGGTTTGTATGTTCTCAACATTTTGCTACCACGGATATTAGCATTAATTAATTATTAATTACACAGGTCAACAACGTTTTGTTCTAGGAAAGTGTAGGGTCATTTTCGAAGTAAATTTTTGCGTAGAATCCGAATCCGGGGTTTAAATTGCTCTATCACGTCAGGACTTTGAGATATCCTAACCTAAAAGTGCAAAAACAGCGTTTTTTGCACTTTTAGGTTAGGATATTTCAAAGTCCTGACGTGATAGAGCAATTTAAACCCCGGATTCGGATTCTACGCAAAAAATTACTTCGGAAATGACACTACACTTTTATAGAACATTCCGAACCCATTTTTTTGCAGACCTGTGTTATTGTTATTGCAAATAAACGATGAGTTGCTGAGCCAAAATATCTTTCAAGAAATTAACGACATTCCAATATCCGTAAAGGAGGAGGCGAAAGTAAAAATTGGTTTTCGTCTCTATGATTATTTAGTTTTTAATTTTTTAAATAGCTTACAGAAGAGCATGAAGAAAAAGAATTTCTCGAAAAATAAGTCCACTTAACGATGTCGAGTTTAATGGGCTGGAGAATTTTGCAGGTTACTTTGTGTCGAAAATGGGTCTGGCGCAATTCGGTTTCAGGACGAGTGAAGGGAAAGACAGTAATTCTACTTTCGTTAATTGCATATCTGAAGAAGGTCTTTATAAACCAAGTGCTGATTTTTTTAAGATTTTGGAGCATTTGAACTCGAAATTTATTGAAATTAATGATGGAAAATTAACAATCTCCAAAATAAAAATGTATTGTACAATCCAAATTTTACTATCGAGGAAAGAATTGTAAAACATTTTTGTTTTTAGGAAGGACATTTTTTCGAATACGATATTCAAATCTAAAGTCAAAAGAGAACAAAACTAAATATGAAAATAAGATGAGAAAAATGACATCTTGCTGGGTTTGTTGAATTTACTAAATAAAAGCATTTAATAATATCAACGCAACATACATATATATAGATTAATTTTCAGTTTTGGGGTAGGGGTGAGAAATACCATAAACGTAAGTGCATATGCCATTATCCATTGTATTTCGAAGTAAAATTGCATTCTTTGTATGTACATATTTTCAATACATATGTACATCATGTACTAGACTTGTTTGGTTTCTTCTAAGAAGAGTTAAATATTTACACCCAATTACTGGGAAAGAAATTCCCATCTCGAAATTCCCTAATATATTTGTAAATATTAAAAATATGGTAACGCTGCTAGCAACATGAACAAATTATGAAGCTTCAAAAATCTCTGTATCCGTCAAAAAGTTGATTATTGAAACTACCTTGTTTTTTATCATGAGCCTACCTTCCTTTTTCTACTATGGTTTAAACTAAGTTTAAACGCCCATCTGGCTGGGTTAAACCGAGTTTAAACAATCAGCTGTTAAGTTGTATATTTGTAGTCAGCTGCCAAAATTTAGATGAAAGAGGAGGAATAAAATTGTTTGGTAAATACACGAAAACAGACTCATTTGTATAGCGGCACATACATAAATAAGCGAAATGTTCATCCGTAAGATGAAAATTGGACACAAAAATATTAACAAATGCTACTTGGGTTGGAGTTTGCTTGCATAGGGCAATTTGGTCGGGTAACACATGAAGCACCTAACAAATTCTTTAAATATCCGTCTATAATCTTTCAGAACTTTAAACGTGGTCGTATCAAAAGTGAAAATATATAGCTGAGGTTTTGTATTTGCATAAAGATAAAACAGTGTTGCAAAAAAAAAATAACTAAACTTTAAAGTGAGTTTAACTAAACTTTGTTTAAACTGAGTTTAAACCAGCACTGAAAAACTGGCCCTAGGTGTAATGAAATAGTAAAATATACATAGATTGCGCATACATATTACGATGTTATTAATGGCCTCTTATTAATTTTAATAATGTTTAGAAATTTATCTTTGAGATATTTAGTAGCAGTAAACACGCAGTCTTCATAAAATTTCTAAAATTCGACTTTCCTTCATGAAATGCTTTGAGATATACATACATACATATTCATGTATACATACATAGACATATTCATACGTGATCAAAAGATAATATTCATTTTACTATTATAGGCAGCGCATGGGAAATATTCGTGGTTGGGGAGGACCGATATCACCATCATATCGACGCATGCAAAAGCTACTGCAGAAACGCATTCTAAAAGCAGAACGTGACCTTGGTATGCGAGTGGCATTGCCTGCTTTCGCCGGACATGTGCCAGTTGCCATGAAAAACTTATTTCCCAACACAACATTTACGGCCGTGGAACGTTGGAATCGTTTTCCCGATAAATATTGTTGCGCTCTCTTTCTCGATCCACACGAGCCGCTTTTTCGCGAAATCGCTACAGAATTTCTCAATCTGACCATTAAAACTTACGGCAGTGACAATATTTACTTCTGTGATCCGTTCAATGAAAATAAACCAAGGCTAGCGAGTTCTGAATATATGAACGCTACTGCCTTCCATATTCACGAGTCAATGCGTTTAGTAGATGAGAGTGCCGTCTGGCTGCTGCAAGGATGGATGTTCGTTAAGAACATCTTCTGGACCGATGAATTGATCAAAGCGTTTCTGTTGGCAGTTCCACGTGGCAAATTGTTAGTATTAGACCTTCAAAGTGAGCAGTTTCCACAATACGAACGCACATATTCGTTTCACGGCCAACCATTTATTTGGTGTATGCTTCACAACTTTGGGGGGACTCTCGGAATGCATGGATCTGTGGATATTGTGAATACGAGAGTTCGTTTAGCTCGAAACATGGCAAATAGCTCCATGATTGGTGTCGGAATCACGCCGGAGGGCATTAATCAAAACTACGCTATGTACTCGCTGGCCTTGGAACGCGGTTGGTTGCAAGAGGACATCGATTTGGATTTGTGGTTTGAAAGTTTTGCTGATGTGCGTTATGGTGTACTCGACCCCCGATTACATAACGTTTGGCAGCTACTTCGCCATTCCGTATATTCTTATAGAGGATTATTGAAAATTCGGGGTAAGTATTCTATAGCCCGAAGGCCGTCGACAAATCTCAATCCATGGATGTGGTATAACACTTCAAGTGTTCATAAAGCACTGGACCAGCTGCTTACGGTGAGAGCGAATGCTAACATTCCTCAATATAATATGCCGTTCTTCTCACATGATCTAGTAGATTTAACACGGCAATTTTTGCAAATAACCTTCGATCACTTGTACGTGAACTTAATGTCCTCTTACAGGAATAAGCAAATTGATAGATTCAATCATGTAGCTGATAAATTGTTGGAAGTCTTGAACGATCACGAAACTATATTGGCCACCAATATGGATTTTTCACTTGGTCGATGGCTAGAAGCTGCTAAAAATTTGGGGCGTAAACCAGTGGAAAAACAGCTTTATGAAATGAACGCACGTAACCAGATCACTGGCTGGGGTCCTAATGGCCAAATTCTTGACTATGCAACTAAACAGTGGTCTGGCGTTGTTAGAGATTATTATCTTCCGCGATGGACTTTATTCTTAGAGATGCTACGGAAAAGCTTGAAACAAAGTGAAAAGTTCAATGAGGATGCTTTCAAACGGGTCGTTAGTCAGGAAATCGAAAATCCATTCAGTATCAGCTTTAAAGAATATCCTTCGCAGCCGGTTGGCGATACTTTTACTGTCGCGCAGCAAATTTTCCGCAAGTGGACTATATATATCAACGACTTAACTTTCCTCACTCATTGTAGTAATCCCGTAAGGATTATTTAGTCAAATAATTTTGTACGAATAGAAAATAAAACGACGATGCTAACCAATGTGTTCTCAAAAAAATACGATATAGTTAGATACTAACCCTTCCGTCCTGAATATAACCTTATAAATAAATAATTTCGACATACATACATCCTAGTGCTCACTATGTCAAATTCAATGACATCTGTCGCCAAATAAGTGAAAAAAAATTGTTATATGGAACTAAAAAACGGGTTATCGACTGATTTATATCATAATAGGTCTTCAGCCTTTTTTGGCTCCTAATATAAGTGGTTGGTGGTTGGAAAAAGAGATAAAGTTGTGTCAAAATATTTACTCAGCATATGACATAGTGAAAACCAGCCTTAATGTGGAAGATAATTTTAACCAAACTAATTCAAAATGTTAGTATGCATTTGCAATGATTAAATCCCAAGTGGATTTTTTCCATCCCATCACAATTTTTGAATGAGGCTTATCACCTGACAACGGAGAGAGAAGATCTTATCCGTCATTTGGTCTCCAGCCAGTTGAACATAGTCTATAGGCGCATGACCGATCGAATTAATGCGTGACATCAAATCAGCAGTGGCGTATTTTTCACCCTCAACGTGACGAATATCTGTCGTTATTTAAGAAATGAAATCAAGTTGCCTCACATGAAATGAGTGCACCAGCGGCTTGTGGTCGGTGTAAACGTGGCATTCCCTGTCTTCGACTATTTATCAAAAATGATGAAGGGTCAAGTACAATACTGTCAACTCGGTCGTACGTTTTGTATCGCATCTTTGCTGTCGTAAATTTTCTAGAAAAGCTGAGCATCTAGATGTAGCCGGCTTTTGCGGCGAAATTTCAAGCGTTCGAACCATAAGCGGGCTGCCTCCGCTGCATCGATAACTTAAAGTTGTGATACACAATGGCTAGAGGCGTCGCACTATAGGCAAAACACGAGTTTTTTTCAAAATCGTAGATCTTCGCTTAGAAAAGAGATAATGGAATGGGAATTTTTTTATCGTGAAGATAAATGATCATATAATATCGCTAGCTTAGAAAGAAAAGTTGCTAAGTCCCATTTTAAAAATTTTACAGGAGAGAAAAAAATCTTCCTATAGCCATTTTCTTTAACTATTTCGCAAGACTTTGAATCAAACATTTTGCGCGTTTAAAGCAAAGCAAAATTCCATAAGAATCAGAAGGATTCGATATTTATTAAAAGATGTCGTATTATTTTGGCCTTATCGGATTTGTGGTGCTTCTTTTGGACTTAGCAAATTTTCCTTTTATTGCTTATGAAGAGGAAAAAATAAACCAAGTACCTTTATAATTTTCGAAAGGATGCGTATTCAATTTCTTTAGCCTCCTATATCAAAATATGGGTTTTCATAAAAAGAGGACTTAGCAACTTTTCA